TACTCCTATTAACTCTAATGATGACTTTATGGATTCACAGGAATATATCCCTATTAAAGGTGACATTTCTATTAATGAAAATTTACTAAATGATGATATAGAGATAAACCTTCATGATGACAACGGTAATATGTTGTATAATTTTCTTTACAGGAAATAATCAGATAAAGCCGACCCTGAAGAGGTGACGAACGCCATGACGTCACCATAAAATTATTGTACTTGTACATTAAACGGTGTACAGTATTATTGACGTATGCAATGACGTCAGTATAAATTATTAAATTTATGAACAATATAAAATTATGAATAGTATAGGTTAGTTTGAAATCCGGATTTCATGTTTGACTATTATAAAAGGAGATGCAGGCTCGACCTATGGAGCACCACATCTCAGCACCTCCTCTCTTATCCACTTCTTTCTCTTGCACCCTCTCTGAACATTCAATGCTTGTTAAAAAAATTTTAATTGATAATATTATCCTTAAAAAGATAAAAATACAATAATAACTTACTGTAATAACTTCTTATTAGTCTAAAAAATCATTAGTCATCTAACTATTAATCACGTATTGAAATTAAACATTACAGTTATGCAATGCAATTCAATTTTTTTTTTAACTGTGACGACCCGTATAAAAAAAATATAATAATAATCACTACCACGCTAATCATATCGTCAATTATGATTCTATATAATTACGGATTATTTTTAAAAATTTTAAATAAATAAATGGACTTCAATTATGATTTTTTTATGTTCAAACAAGTCAAATAAGTATAATATATGTCATATTTCGTATTAAAAATAAAATGTGATATAATATATGAGTAATCCATTACATATAGAATATATGTGAGTATATATGTATAGATAACAATAGACATGTGGTCTATTAGAAAAAAAAAAAAAAAGAGAAGCAACCATGAGAGAATGAATATTTGTCCAATGACTTCTTTGGAGGCCAAGCATTTGCACCCTATAAATAAGGGGCTGCCAATAAGCAAAACGCATAGCAAGGGAGGAAGAGGAAGAGGAAGAGAAAGAAGAGAGAGAGTAAAGAAAAAAAGAGAGAGAAAAACTAATGAGATTTTGGGGTCAAAATTTTATTAGTGAATTTTACTTTTGATCATTACTAAATTGAAGTGTCTCATTTGGGGTATTTCAAATTTCTTGCCTATTGAAGTTATTAACGATTTTGAGGTACAGGGTAGGATACAATATGCTCCTGCCTTTCAAATCTCTTTGCAAAGAGTGTCATTTCATTATCTGAAATTTATATTCTTATTGATTATTCTGATTGATACGAAATTCTGTCAAGGTTATCGGTTGACCTGTACGTTGGGCTAAATACTTTGGATTTGATTGGTACATGTGCGAAGTGTACTTGGGGGCATAATTGGTGAAATGTGATTATGGCCCTGTGGGGTGCGATTGTGATTACAGCCCTGCGGGGTGTAATGGTTCAATGAGTATGGATTTTAAATGCCCAAGTATCACTTGTCATGTCATCAAGAGGACCCGAGTATGAGGCTATGTTTGATAGAAATTGAGCTATATGACTTATCGAATTGGATTCTTGATTCTTTTATCTATGATTGTCTATCGATTGAATTATTTGATCATTCATATTTTTCTCGTTGAACATATTGTTTCCAATCATATTGTATATTTTTCCGCTTTTAATATTTTTTCAGGATTATCTCAGAGGGAATAACCAAAGTTGATATTTGAGGAATCGAAGATGGACAAGTCTTGATATAATTTATAACTTTGTGGTTTTATTGGAGTGATATATAATTTAAACATATTTATTTTTATATTGAGGAGATTATTTTTATTGTTATTTGGAGATCAAAATTGTGATTATAAATTTATTGAGGCAATTAGAGCACTGACCCTGTATTCAAAATTTTTTTTGTGATTATTGTGATCGATCGATTTAATCAAGTAACGGGTCCAGGAAACCGATGCGTTACATTAACCTTATGTAATTTAGTTTAAACAACCTAAAATATGAAAAAAAAAATCTTAAGTATAACAGTTACCCAACGTCAGCAGTGCCATTTTGTACAACCGTCCACTAACAAGGGAACAAATTAACAAGTGAGCCCTATAAAATTCAATAACCATCATGTAATATATAACCACCTTCATATAAAAAAAATGGTCTAATTTATCTATTTTTTTCTAAAAGAAAAAGTCAAAATTATTGGCATACAACGCACGCGTGCACCAACTAGTGACCTTAAAAATGAATTTAGAAGTTTTTAAAGAGGATAAAACATAAGTTGCGGGGCTACATTTTTTTATGAAAAATGATTTTTTTACTAACTTTGAGCTTGAATTTGATTGGGGTTAAGTGAGACTCGTGGTAATTTAAAGGTTGAGTTTGATAGAGGGCTATGTGGGGGACTGAAAAGGAGGAAAATTGTGAATTTGTAGTGAGAGAAATAAGGTAGAGAAGGGAAGAGGTTAGACTGTTTTGTAGGAAACCTTAGCTGGCTAGAAGTTGAAGATAAAGTTGACCGAAGGATAGCTTGACACCCCGACGACATGTGAGGGCACGGCCACTGCCCAATCAACCTCTAGTCGGTGCCAAAAGTTTTGTAACGCCTATACAGACGTCCTAGTAAAATTTCAAGTCAATTCAACGGTCGTATCAAAATGACTGTTTTGGCCTCTGAGAAAAATTTGACCTAATTTTTGGGTGATTTTTGAAAAATAAACTTTATATTATTTTTTAGGTAGGTTAATTGAATATGTGTATAAAATTTCATTGAAAAATAACATAATTTTATTTTTGACTGTTTCGGATCAAAAAGCAGTATAGGGTAAGGTTTCTCAATTCCAGATTAGTCAAAACTTTTCAAATTCATTTTTAAATCATGTCTTAAATTATTTATGAATGTTTAACATATTTTAAAACTTATGATTGGTTTTTTTTAAATTTGGATTGAAAATCACGGAACTAGATTAGGGTTTTGACTGCGAAAACGTACAGTGGTCTAAAAAAGATGAATTTAATTGTATAAAATGAGATACCAAATTCCTTTTAAAATAATTGTAAGTACACATAGGTTGAGTGGCAACAAGGGTTTTTGTTCTAGTTTGAGATTGTATAGGATAATCATTAAGTTCGTAAACGCTTGAGTGACTAGTTGGTTTACGAATTTTGAGTGCTGAAATTAAGTTGTGGTGAATACAAAACGTCACGAAACACATTCATATGCACTCACTTGCATCATTTAAGTTATTTTTGAGCTGATACTCATTTGCATTCGTTCATGTGGTAACTATTAGGGTGGAAGATTACTACCTCGGTTACACATGGAGATCGACCGTAAGACAAGGAGGGGTACCTGTCAGAGGTAAATGTAAAGTGTACTTCTTCATAATAATTGAAAATAAAAATATATGATATATCAAGTTTATTCTCTTGTATATAAGAAATCAATTTTGCCAAATTGATTTGAGATGAGTTGTTTAAACTCTGGATCAAATGTGTCTTTTTGAAAAACTTGTGATTTGATTATTATCCATTACACTGAGTTGTTGATAGCTTGATATGACTTACATATTGTTGATTTGGGCACTGCACAGTTGTCGTGAGACAGCTTGACATTATTTAAATGTTGTAAATAGTCTGACATTGCTTGTATGTTGTTATTTGATTCGCTGCTTATGTAGATATTTACTATTTTGATACATGAGATTGATTTAAGTTTCAAAGTGAGTTAAATTCACTATGGTTGTGATTTGAGAGTTATGAGTATTTTATGGGTAGAATTATATTTGATTCATTTTTTTATTATATTTCCTTTGAATATAATGTTTAGTATACTAAACAAAATTATTGGTTTTAGAATGCTGAAGTTTAGAGTGAGGTTTAGTACTGCACTAGCATGATAGAGATGAGAGAAAATTAAGGAATCTAGTTTATGTACATATTGTATAAAAGTGTTTGTTTTTGTTTTGGTATAAACAATACCGTTGTATACGCTGTTATATAATTTTTTGTTTTGGTTGTGACATTAGGTAGCATTATTGATTTCAAATGCATTACTGCATTACAAACGCAAGTATCGTCAGGTGTTGAGTTATGTTTCCAACTATGAGAAACAAAAGAAGGTCTCTCAAGATGTGGTGTGACAATGTGTGTATATTTAATAAGGCTACTGAATGTTATGTTTAAAATATGAAATATTATGTTTTACATATAGCATATGTTAATTAAGCCCTTGCAAAAGCCTTGTGAGTCGCGCACTTTACCTTTTTCATTATATTTTATAATGAATGCAGACAAAAAGGCTTAATTGCTATAATTAGAGAGTTTAAAGCCTCAATTAACACAAAAACATATTTATGAACTTAATTGACATAAAAGTCAAAATTTGAGGGTCAAATATATAATTTACACTTGACAATGGAATCTGCTAGAATATCAAATTAACACAACAAATACAGCACAAACCACTAGATTTGCTTTGTAGTATGCTATGCTCAATAGAATAAGAGAGAGAGCACCCACACACTCCACGTACATACATACTAACACTCATCCATTTCCATCCAGCCAAATTGAAAACAGACTTGCGAACATTAGCATCATTACCGAACAATTCTTTTGCTATTTTATCTAATGTTGTAGTGGGTCGTATTTGGGGAATTTCTTAATGAAAAGTATTTTTATGTCATCAAGTTTAACGATGTATCAAACGGATGACTCTGTTATTTTTCACACTTGAGGGGTTTTCGGGTGATTAAGTGACAATCTTGGGGGATTTGGATGTAATTTATCCAAATGAAAAATGGAGCGAACTGTCCGACCCGAATAATGTCCCAACAAGTCTGGTCTGGGACTCGGGGTTCTCAGAGTTCTGTGTGTTCGACTACTTTCATCGTTATACAAAACAACAGAGCTTCCTGGTTCTGCTCTCTCTCTCTCTCTCTCTCTCACACACACACACACACACACACGCACACGCACACGCACACGCACACGCACACGCACACGCACACGCTCACAATACAAATGGCTCAATTCTGGAAACCAGGGACAGAGAGGCCTCGTATACTGGACGATGAAGAAGGGGGTGTTCTGTTCTACTCTGCCTCTCCCTCTTCCTCTTCTGGGTACTCTTTCTTTTCCGTTCACATACATTTATAGCTATGTATTTCTGTATACTATGCACATATGTTTAGATTTTTGAGTTTACAGATTTGGTTATGCGAGTATTGAGAAGCAGAGGCAGAGATTGCCTGTGTATAAGTATAGAACGGCCATTCTTTATCTGGTGGAGACTCATGCCACTACTATCATTGTTGGTGAAACAGGCAGTGGCAAGACTACCCAGATTCCTCAGGTTCTCTTTCTCTCTGTGTACCTGTGATGAATGTTATACTTACAGTATGGAAACAGAAATTTTTTTTTAGGTCTAGAGTATATTTATGAACAAATTCATTATTTTTATTTCGTAGTATTTTGATTGCTGACTGTCTTTTTGAATGAAACGATAGAATTTTATTAATTTGATGCTCCTGTAAGCAGCTGCGGCATTACAAAGTCCGTTATGAGCTACTTTGATACAATCAAATCACTAACAAATTCAGCATGTCTAGCCAATTGATATGCCACTTTATTAGGATGGACTGTTGATACTTCAAAGAATTTAAAACTTTCTAGCACATTGTGGATTTATAATTTTATGGATCCCAAAGGAGAAAATTCTTCTTCTTCAGCTGCTTCTCTTATCAACTTCATAACCGCTGTGGAATCCGCTTCCAATATAATTTATTGACAACCTTGCTGTTGAGAAAACCAAACGGCTTCCCTTGCACCATTGTATCTGCTGTCTTAGCATTACTGTGGAATTAGCTTTCTTGACATACCCTTCAGCCAGTCACAAAATATCCCCCTCATCTCTAATTTCTGCTTCAAAACCAATTGATTGCTCTAGCTCAAAAATGGTCCCATCAAAGTTAACTTCGATATATTATATGACTGTTGGGTTGCATAAAATGAAGTCTGACCCAATTTGAATCATTGTATACATGTTTGGGACTTGGAGACAAAACTATAGAGAATAACATACATGTTATGCATATAAATGAAGGCCATTACCGAGTGTTGGTTGGTCCATCACATGAATTTAAGGATGCTGGGAATGGATGGGTCCCAGAAGTAAGCTATGGCATTATCTAGACATAGTGGTTGCTGGTAGACTTGGGCCCCCCATTTCTCAGTTTCAGCATGCCAATTGATACATATGACACAGTTTTTGTAGATTGTTAGCTTACTTCACATAGATAATATATTAGATGCCTATCTGTGATCTTGTCTTTTGTAATTATTTGAATAAACATAATCTGACCCACCCAAAAGTTATATTTCTCTGCCAAAATTGTAGTACCTCAAAGAAGCAGGCTGGGCTGATGGCGGGCGTGTGATTGCTTGCACCCAACCAAGGCGGCTGGCTGTCCAGGTATAAATGCCGGATGCATAGAAAAACATAGATTCTGCTAATAGAAGATGTGTAAAGGCACAATTGTTGCTCTCTCTATTGAAATTGGTGCTCACTAATGAAGTATTATCTCAATCAAAGTATTCTAATCAAGCTGTATAAATTGACATAAGAATTGAAATTTAGGCTTCTAGAAGACATATGGCGTGCTATGACTCTAGCTATAGTGATGCAAGGGAAAATCCATAGAACAACAATAGAATTGTTTTACTCTACTTATTCATGTCCTCGATGCCCAGACAGTTGCTTCAAGGGTAGCTGAAGAGATGGATGTCAAGCTTGGGGAGGAAGTTGGTTATACTATTCGATTTGAAGATAATACGAATTCAGTGAGGCTTCTAACTTTTTTCTAGCATTTTTCTTCTTCTCTAGTAAGGGCATCCTTAAAAATTATCTGCACCTCACGTCGTGTGCTTTTTATCAATGGAGTTGTTCTTTCCCAAAGAAATGAGTTATTCTTTATATCATTGTCATGTGGCTTATTAGCATGCTATGAGTGGTTGAAATTTTCGTGTTTGGCAGCACAGAGCTTAACTCGTATCAAATTTCTCACGGATGGGGTGTTACTGAGAGAAATGATGAATGACCCTCTTCTGAGCAAGTACAGGTAATACTTATGATTCCTAAAATCATACCCATGAGATCCCTTCTATGCAAACCCCTCCCCCTCCTTCCTTCCCCACTACACTTGCACAATCACAACTTTGGACATGATTTATAAAACTTGTGGTCTTATGGTGGTGTTTAACACGAGTAATTTTGATATGTGCTCTCAGCAATGTGTTTTGATACAGGTCTATTTATACTGATGGATAATAGTTACTTATAGAAACCCTTTGTAATATATTGGATGATGATTATCGGGAAGGATGAATGGATGACTACCTGAAAAACTTAGAATCATTTTAGGCTTTTAGCTTTTATTATAGGTTTGGCAATAACTCTTTTTTTTTCTTCCAGTGTTATAATGGTAGATGAAGCTCATGAAAGGTCTCTTTCAACAGACATCTTGTTGGGTCTCTTGAAAAAGGTATCCTTTTGACCAATTGGGATCAATGATTGATGGTCTTACTATAAAGGCAAATTTGTGACTAATTTTCAATCTTGTAGTTTTCTTTCTTGAGACTAATTGCTGAAATTCCAGATCCAGCGGCGCAGACCTGAGCTGCGTCTGATTATCGCATCGGCTACAATTGAAGCCAAATCAATGGCCTCTTTTTTCCAGCCCAGGTTTTCTTCCTAGCATTTGATCAGAAAATATCTGATACTGTTTGTTGATTCCTGGTTTCTTTCTGCCGCATGCCGCATGCCGCATGCCTTCCTGTGCGGAAATCATGTTCAATACATTGTCGATTCCAGTGACCAGGAAAAATCTTGATTTTATTCTCATATTCTTCTGGTGATGCATTTTCTGTCTCTTTCTGTGTTTGCATATGTTTCTAGGTTGACTAGACTGTCCTCCATTTGGGTTGATACATGGTGGAGTCCCAAAAGCATATGCTAACGTCAAGTTTTTCTGTGCAGCAATGAGTCGTATTGTGAAGTTTCATCAATTTGACTTTGATTTTATGGCATTTGTATTAAAAAAAATAAAACAGGCACTCTTTTGGAAAATCAGCACCTCTAAGAATTGGGGCCTCAACATGTATCTTTTTGACAAGCTATTCCACAAAACTTCAATGTTTTTGTGATTAGTAGTAGCGGAAGAAGGTCACTACAGTTGGCACTAATTCAAATTTTTGAGATCCACTTTGCCCATATCATTGTTCCCTTTTTCTTTTGATCTTCACTCTGCTGCAAGTTATCTTTGTTTCATCAAAACTCTCTATATTACTGGCAATCCTTGGAGTCTTTTTCTCATTCAAGTTTTTCCTTCATCTAGATGGATAGATATTTGGTATGCTCCATCTACTTAGGGTTGTGCTAGCATACTGGATTCTTTTACCTGTGACAAATAAACATAAGAAAGACAAAAGAAAAGATTTTGTTTCATGGCAATCTGAGCTTGCAAACTTTGGCCCCAGTCTTCTTCCTGTTTGAATTATATGGGTTGAGTTTAGGTTTTGGTGTTCCTGCAAAATTTTGATGTGCACAATTTTGAATTGTTTATTGAGTTGTAATTTGATTGTGTCTGTAGAATTTTAGTAGTTTGGTTTAACACATAAGCTGGTGGACTGCCTATTGTCTGAACATTAGCGGACAGATCCTGTGGTCGGTTACTGTCCTAAAGTCTATGCATAATTGTCATCTATTTTTTCTACCCTAAATTTCTCTTTTCATAAATGTTTTTCTCCCATAAATATGAAGTTGTTCCATAGTAATAGAAATCTAATTTTGCTAAAAATGATTCCTGCCAATTGTTATGCAATAAAAAATAAAAAACCAATAAAAAGAGAATGACTCCATGGCTGAAGTAAACTGGCAATGGTGATTAGATGGTGTTGATGATTCAATTCCATAGTTGACATTTGAGGCTTTGCAATTGTAGAGTAATTGATAACTTGTCTACTGCCTTTCATCAATGTCTGACTTCTATTTTTTGATTGTTTGAGAGTATTTTATGTCTAACTCAAATTTCAAAGTTTCCTTTAATGGTTGAATTCTACACCTGACTTTCTTATTTAGTTTTAAAGAGACATCTAGTTAATTGCCTTTTACTGTGAGATCTTCTGTGGCTCACTAAATTAGTCAGTTGTTTTTGAAGATTACTCGTCTCCCTTAATGTCAGTTTGCTCTTTTGGATCAATTCAATAGCTGGCATGTGAATCATTGCTTACTTGTTTACTTGTAAATTGATTAGTAAGCAGTTAATTCCTTTTATGTTGACATCTTTTACGTCTCACTTGGATTTTTCAATGATTCAATTACTTGCGACTTTAAATCCTCTTTCTTCTTCGTTCTAACTTTGCTCTCTCTCTCTCTCTCTCTGTGAGTATTTAAGTATATGCACTCAAACTTATCTTTGTTTCTTGAAAACTAGCAGAAGGCGTCGAGGACTGGAAGGTGATGAGCATGGATCGAGTACAGAGCCTGCCATTCTGTCAGTCGAAGTAGGTTATGCTGGTGTTCTGATACTTCTATGTATATTGATTTTTGGAAGGCCTTCTCTTTGCTTCGAAAGTAGCGTTAAACCTCTTAGATTTAACAAGGATTGATGTAATTTCAGGGTAGAGGATATAATGTACAGATTTTTTATGTTGAGGAGGCTGTTCCTGATTATCTCCGAGCTGCTGTTACAACAGTATTGTCAATTCATGAGCAGGTTAGCGTGATAGGATGACTGCATTGGTTGTACTTTGCTGCTATAAGAAGCGCTAAAAAGTATCCATATGTGCAGTTTCTGAGTATGTCTTATGTTGATGAATTCTCCAGAAAAATCACATATTTTGTTCCATCCTCTAAAACACGATAATCTTTAGTATTATTTGACTCTTTTAGGTTGGGACACTAGTTTCACCCAAAAGAGCTTTCTAACTTTTACCAACCTTAAATTCGTATCGGAATGTCGCATTGGCAAATGTGATATATGCTTTCCATGCGGAATTTCATTCTCCAAGCACTGATTATGGTGTTTTGTCCTTTGCAACACAATGATGTTTAGTATTTGCCACCTCTTTTAGTGTCAAGGTTGGTTAAAGTTGAAAAGCTCTATTGGGTTAAACATATTGCTAGCACACTTACACTGGGATAAAGAAATGAGGTTTTGCTTGATATTTTCCCAATGGCTTAGACCTGCCCCCTATAGATTACATAAGCACTCCCTTATATCAGTACTAGTTATTACCTGTGCCTGGAGGCACTATATAACAAACAAAAAATTGTTACGTAATTGTCCAAATTCAAAAAGAATGGCCTAACAATATTCATACCATTTCTTCTTTTAAAATGACTTGAAATATATTGTTGATTATATCCTCCATATTAATAGAACTGTCGTAAAAGTATATAAACTCTTCAAAATAACACCATATATACCAATGCCTCTGGAAAAAAAAAAAAAAATACTAACATAATCCATTAAAATTTACAATCTATAAGACTCTGGAATTTATTATCTTTACCACCACTCAATCCAATAACAAAATATAATTATAAACTCAATCACCATATTTTCAATCCACCCTATCCCCATGTAATAAATATCTCAAGAAAAAAAAAATTACTAACATAACACAATTAAATTCACAATCTTTAAGCGATAAATAAAATCAACCAAATCTTACTCATTTATAAAACTCATGAATTTATCACCATTCAACCCCAGATGGAACAATAAAATTATAAATTTAATTACCAAATGTCCAATCCTCTACGTATAAATATACACAGAAACACACTTACACATTTATTTTTTGGCTACCATCAAACCTTCCTAACCAATAGCTAGTTTTATTAGAAATATAATAATTTAAGTTTTTAAGATAAAATAATAATAAATTAATATCTAATTAAAAAATATGATAAAAAAAAGGGACTTTCCCCTGAGTTTTGACAATATTATGCGGACACCCCTGATATTTTATAAATAACACAAAAATTCCTGAAGTTTAAAATTTATTGCACAGAGACCCTCTCTGTCTCCCTTCCGTTAATATTGCTAACAGAAAGTGGTGATTTCATCCCCAAAAAAATTATTATTTTTATAATTGTCTTTCTTCAACTTTAATACCCAAAAAAATTAAAAATTTAATAAAATAAAATAAGATTTGATTTAGTACCGAAAAAATTTGTATAATTTAGTACCCCAAAAAAATTGATTAAATGAATTTTCATATTAATTTGATGATAATAAAAATTAATTTAATATTAATTCGCCAAAGTTGAATATATATTAGACAAAATTAAATGTCAATTTTTGATAAAAATATATATATATTAATTTACAATTTAAGGTTCATTTCGTGTTGAATATTATTTGGTGCTAATTAAACCAACATGAAATTGACCTTAAATTATAAATTTTTTTGTTGTATATAAATTTAAAAATTTGTATTTTAACCCATAAAATTTAAATACAGATTTTTTCGTAGCATATCGTCTTCTCTCTTACTGTATCATTTGATAAATTTTTTTTTGGTCAAAATTCGACCACACATATTTAAATCAAACCAATTGTTCACCCCCACTTTTTTTTTTTTTTTAAGAGAATCGTTTACCTCCACTTATTAATCTCAAAAATCTCTGGTTCACATGAAAATAAGTGAAAGTAAATTAAAAATTTGACAAAAAATTTTGAAAAATTGATAATTAGAAAAAATTAAAAAAATTTATTAGCAAAATTATAACAAATAGAGTAAACATTAAAAAAACTAAAAAAATAATATATATAAAAGCCATTGTTAATGAGAATTTTAGAGGAATTTAGGCCTTGAATCAATTAAAACCTAATTTCAGGCAAAGATGTGAAACTCAGTTAAAAAAGTCCTCAAATCGTGAAAAATGTGTTTATTTTTTATTTACATTAAGTGTTATTTACAAATTAAGAAGCAAGTGGCAAAATACATGCGGTTAGATATATAAAATTTTGAATTAATTTTATGGAATAAATAATTGCATAACATATAATTTCATATGTTTTATGGAGTAAATAATAAAAAAATAACACTTGAAAAACAGAAAAAATAAGATAATAATATGAGAGAGAGAGTATAAGATAGATATAAAGAAAGTTGGATGAGCAATAGGAGTCTTAGAAAAATTTAGTATGAGAACCGTCATATTAATAATCGTCAAAGGTCAAGCGATCTGAGCCGCGAAAAACTAATGACAAAGAAATCTAACTACTTTATTATATAGATATGGATAAAAGTTGAAGTTTCTTTAGCCAACTACACTGCATTTTTGGCTTAGTCCCTCTTCCTCTTTCTACGTTATTTTACCAATGCTTCTTTGTCCTTCTCTCTCTCTCTCTCACATACAAGTTAGAATGGTGTCATTGCCTTGTTGCTTAATTAAAGTTTCATGTTCTTTCATCCATGGATCAAAATTTTGTTTTGGTTTATTGTTTCGGTCACCTAAGAAACGGAAATGTTTCGACTCATTTCGGAAACATAATAAAAAAAATAAAAAATTTAAGAATTATTTTTCTAAAACATTAATTGAAATATATCAAAGTATTTTGAAATACCTTAAAACATTCCAAAACAATTGTGCAAATACATTGAAATATTATAGAACATCTCGAAATATTATGGAACATCTCGAAATATTATGGAATATCTTGAAATATTAGAATTTCGATTCTATCACCGATTCGTTTCGGTTTTCTTGGAAATGAGATTCTATCACTGATTCGTTTCGGTCTCTTTGGAAATGGAAACGTTGCGGACGTTTAATTGTTTCGAAACGATATTTTGATCCTTGCTTCCATCTTCCTTCAGAGTTAAGAGTTCCAATTTGTTTTTGTTTTCTGTGTGCTCTGAAAGTTTCGGTCAGCTTAGAAAAGTCTAAAGACTCTCAACAATTTACAGGCTGTCATAAGAAATCTCTTGATCGTTTAGCACTGTGTTGGGTGATATTCCCTGCTAAATCACACGACATCAGATCTTTTCCTTCTTCCCTCTTTATTTGTTTAAAGTATCTCAAACTTGGCTCTTGTGTCCATCCTTTGTCCCTGTAGCACCTTCACCCCACTCATATCTTTTGTACTGCTGCTTATTAATCTTTACTTGCACATGATTAGCTTATGACAGCTTGAACAATTAGGCAGTCCCTACTTCTCCAGAATGTACTTCACCATATTTTGGTCCGTAGAGCACTTATTTTTCATTGCATTTATTCTTGTGTCACGCCTAAGTGGTTGCACGTACTTGTATGTTGGCTCATTCATTGCACAGACTCCTAAACAGCCACATTGCATTTTCGGAAATTTCATCTTATGGTAATGTTTAGAAATGAGAGAATAACTATTTATTGTTATCCTTCATGTATTCCTGCTTTGCTTTTGGCCCTCAAATAGTGTGTTTAATTATTTTATTCTCCTACTTTCTTAGGTGGAAGATTACATAGACTCTCTCTCTCTCTCTCTCCCTCTCCCTCCCCCCAGAACAACAATCTCATTGTCGACAGTGAACACTAGTTTTTTATTTAGTGCAAAATGATAAATCAATTTTGGGTAAGGGGTATTGATTCTATGTTTGCTTGATAGGATTCAATGGGAGATATCCTTGTATTCCTAACAGGTCAAGATGATATTGATGCTGCGGTTCAGTTGCTCACAGAAGAAGCTCAAAATAGTAAAAAGTGCTCTTCAGGTACTCTTGATTTAGCATTTATCTACTTCATATATTTGAAAAAATTATTCCTCAGACATAATGCCTTCTTATTTTAAATTCTAATCAGTATAAGTGGAAGCATTTTAAGTTTCACTTAGTGTTTGTGGCTTATATCCCCTCCATAACTTCCTTAGCAATATATCCTAATCTCTCTTTCCAATGGTGCTTGCTCTACATAATTGGTGTAATCATACATGAATTTACTTCTTCTATGTATTCTTGACCATTAATCTAAGAAAAGAAGTTTGATTTCAAATATTTGAGCTCATTTGGGGTAGTTCAACCCCCTCAAAGGATCTCCTATTCCTTTCCCTGCAAAGGGTTCACATGAGGCAAAGCTGCACTGTCTCTTCCAATGATCATTTGTAAATCTACTTCCTTTTCCAACAGCTGATCATAGCCTCTTTCAAAGCTTGGCACAACCCAAACCTCACAAGCAAGGAAAAAATTTACAATTCTTTTGCCACCTTGCAGTGTAGAAGCAAGGGATGTATTGATTCTCTTTCCTTATAGATGCCCTCCAAACATCAAAAGCCACCATCAAGGGAGCCCTAGATTTCTATATGCCTTTTCAAGAAAAATCTGTCTGTTCCCTGCGTTTAGCAGAGCATAGTAAGCTTTTACTGAAAAGGACCCAACCCTAGCCTTCTTCTATCTCAGCCATGGTTCAAAGTATTTGCCGATATGGATGTGAGTTGGCTGATTCGTATCTGACTCGGCACCTTCCGATGTGATATCATTCCATGTTCTGTGTTAATTATGAGTCTCATGCATCGATCAAAACATTTCCAAGTCAACCCTAAGTTGTCCGAGTTAACGTCACCAAATTAGTAGATACCGTTCTGCAATGACGTAATATGATCTGAATCTCTTACATGTTCAATTTCTTCTTCAATATTTTATTTTATGCTTATCATGTGAGTCAATGACCGATGTCGTGATCTCGAACCATACCATCCCACCTCTCTCATCCTGCGATTGTATTGACCATCTAAGGAGTCTTCATCCTCCATCTCCCAATGTTGGGTTTGCCATTTGGATAGGGGTTTCTATTGCTTTAATCACCTAAAAAGACCTGCTGAAGCCTATTAAGGTTTCTTTCTTGAGGATGGGAAATGGAGTAAAGGCATGGCATAAATTTGCAAACTAGAAAGTATGCTCTTTGCCTCTTTATGAGGTTAAGCCTCTCCCCTTTAGACAACCATTGTCCCTTTCACCTGGCCAACCTCCTTTTAGTCTTTCTACAGGATCCCAAATTACATTTGATCTAAATGGAGGTTCCAAAAGAATCCCAAAGTGAAGCAGGGCCCAAAATAGCACCCCAAGTTTGCTACAAAGCTGCAAGAGCATGCCCCTGAGCTACTAAAGTAATTCTTTGATATTCATCTTTGAGACTGACACTGCCTTAAAAAGATCGACAGACACATGAGCTATCTCGGTTGCGCTACCTTTGCTCCATAGAAATGATGGTGCGTTCTTAAAAAGCAAATGAAACATGGACACTAGAGCACCCCACTATCCCTTCCGTAAGCCCCTTAACATATGACCCTCCACTCCTCAGGAATTCTTTAAATGAGCACGATGAAATCACACCGTCAAAATGAATTGCTGTATCTGCAGCTTCACTTATCCCAAAGTCCATTTGACCCAAGTTTAGGAAAAACAACTACCAGTTGGCATGTTCAAATGCTCTGTCAGCATCCAAATTTGCATATCACACTTGGTCTGGTGGAGCCTAGTCTGGCTTTAATACATTCATTAGGAACGTTAGCCACATGCAAGAATTGTTTGTTCCCCAAAAAGAAAAAAAAATATGTTTTTTAAGTTCTCCTTGGAGTTTAAAAGTTGACGCTTATATGCATATACAAGCCATCAAAGATTTCACTTGCTTCAAATTTTAGACAATTCATGAAAATGAAGATGAAATCTAAGATATTGTTTGATGGCAGTCTTGTTTCCAGTTTTGATGGCAAAACTGCTGCCAAGCAAGCAGTCCTTATATTTCATTTCATGCTTAATTTACATCTCTTATGCTTTTTGAATTTTGTGTATAATGAAAAAATTCTTTGATTTGGCAAAACCTGAAACCGAAGTGCATACTATGTTAGACTCTTTTTATGGAAACCATACTAATAAAATAAGCCGTGCGTGCTAATAAGGCTTGGAAATTTTGGACACGACTTGCAAATTCGACGCAAAAAACAACAGGGAATTGGTGGGTTTGTGTTTAGCCGCGGGAGGTTGGGGTGTAAGTGGATGGACCCATTAGAGTCACATAAATGGATTGACATGAACTGGAGCTATACATGACACGACTACATGGACATGAACGTCACAAACCAGCCATACACGTTTACATGATATTGGGTATGGGTTAAGTAAATTTTGACATGACAGACTTAGACACAACACAAACCCAAAATACATGACCCTTTATCAACCTTAGTGTTAACACAAACTCTTTTAAAATGGTTTAAGCTCTTGGAAATGGTTTAACATTAATTTATTATATACTTTAACATGCTCCCTTCTGTGTGTTTCATATTTTGGTCAAGGCATGTGCAAGTCTTTAGACTTATTAGGGTGATGGTGAGACTCAAACGTAGAACCTCCTGCTTTCATACTATATTAATCACTAATTCTTTTAAAAACTAGAATTCGTGGAAAGAGTAGTAACATAAATATTTATAGCCTTCGACAAGTGGCATCAAATTTTGAATTCCATGGAGAGTACGTTTTCTGTAAAGAAGTCTCAAGAAACAAAAGTAGCCTTTTTTGTTATCAATTACAATAGTGTTATATAAAACATCTGAAAGATAAACAATTCCGGAAAAAAACCAAGAATTGGTGAACAAGTTTATGTATCATTATTTGTGCTTGTGTGTGTCATGGATACATTTCATATAAGATACATATATGTGTTCTTAATTGTATATCAAATGGGCTGACTACTGCATTCTATGGTTAGTACTGGATGCTAGATTGACGTTTGACAATGAAGGGTTAACATTTTTATCTTACTGCATAACCTCCGTTGATTTTTTTAACTTACTTTCTTGACAATTTTGATCATATTTCATTTACAGGGTTAATTGTTTTGCCTTTGTATTCTGGACTGTCACGTGCAGATCAGGTTAGAAATTCTCCTTGGGCGTCGTTCAGATGTATACTTGTAAAAATATGTAGATATCTAGGTCATAAACTTTTGACTTTGAAGTTATACTTTTCTGCTTTCTTTCTAGGACCTTGTGTTTTTGCCCACTCCTAGAGGGAAGAGGAAGGTGGTGATATCAACAAATATTGCAGAGACATCATTGACTTTGGAGGTAACAACTTCACATTGGGGCACCAAACGTTCAAGCTTTAAAGTAGCAGCATCAAGATGGCAATCCAATTATCTTATCTGGCCAACATTTTTTTTTTTTTTGGCAAATTTTTCTTTCTGACTCAGGGTATCGTCTATGTTGTTGATAGTGGATTCTCAAAACAGCGGTTCTACAACCCGGTATTTCATTTTTATTTATCTTGTGTACTTTTTCTTTTATGAATATTAAGATGTTTAATGACAATGCTGGTGTATGATTGTTAAGTGTCATATGAATTGGCCTATATTTTTCTTTACTTTAATATGCCTGTTACAATCTCAGCAAATACCATGGCCTCAATTCTAACATTAGGGAAAAAAATGTATGTCTACCTGCTGATAGATGACATAGTCAGTTATTTAGGTAGGTCACGAACTTACCCAGGACTAGTCTATAGGAATATGAAGTACAGGTATATCTTAAATCTAGAGGTTCTGATGATTTCATTCTTTGTATCTGTTAGACACCTACTGGACTGGAAAATCAATCAAACATTTATGCTCATTGATATGAAGTTGTTTGGGTTTCTTATTTCTTGAAACACTTTTTTTCAAAATTGAGTATTGTAATAGTATTGACATTTTTCAAATACATCATTTATGCGTCAGTGCTGGCATTATATGCAAAAGTTTTCCTTTCATTCCTGCAGATTACAGATATTGAAAATTTGGTAGTGGCACCAATATCCAAGGCATCTGCTAGGCAAAGGGCTGGTAGGGCTGGAAGAGTGCGACCGGGAAGGTGTTACAGGTACTGTGTTGTCTGAAGTGGTAACACGTCATTATTAACATATTGGTACTGGTTGTTCTGCACCTTCAATGCGATGGCATGCTCTGTGTGCACTTTTTTCATTATTTATGTCCTGAGGAAAGCAGTCAATTGGTGACCAATTCTCACTTGCTCATGAATGAGTAACATATCACAAAAACTTCAGAAATTAGTGAGTACATTTACATTTACGCACTTCGGATGTGTTTGCAGCTGTCATTGTTTTCAATATGTCATTCCATTTCATCATCTATGTACTCTCATGTGAACTTACTATGCTTTTGCAATTGAGTCTTTTGGTGTAGTGCCTGGGTTGTAGATCTGTATGAACCATATAGACTTATTTGGTAAACGGGTTAGTAATTGTTCAGAATTTGTCATTAATTGTGGATTGGGGGCTAGCATTTTACCATTTCTCATTACAAGGTCCTACTCTAGGAGCATTTTTTGAGGTAAACTGAGCTTTTGATGTTGAATTATATCAAAAGAAGTCATCGAGTAGGCAATATTTGTTTTCAACCCAAAGGAGGAAACTTCGACTTATACTCTGTACATATGCTTTTTTGAGGCATCTATTTTTTGGACTTCAATAGGCCTTGGGATTCTAGTGTGTGGCTTTGATAGGTTTCATTTATTATTTATCTTTTGTGCTTTCTTTGGAGTATAGATGTTGGCTTTCTTGTGTTTCTGTGTTATTCGATGCTCTTTATCTTCTTTGTGTTCTACATTTGCATCCATGACATATTAATACACTCATTTGGTTTTTGAGAGAAGGGGGGGAGGAAAAGGAAAAAAAGAAAAGAAAAGAAAAAGAAAAACAAAAGTGAAAAAAAAAAAGAAAACTCCTCCTTTGAATTATTGGATGATTAGCAACCATATCTTTTGCCTGCACTTTTTTTCTGCGTTTCCACCCAATTGCCCTGGGTTGCAAATACTTGTTAGTATGACAAATTTATTCGTTCTCATAGTTGCACTTACATCCTCAATGTTCTTCATATGTTGCAATTACCTGTGAGCCTGATTGGTGGCCGTAACAGGCTTTATACAGAAGAGTATTATGTCAATGACATGTCTGCTGAGGGGATTCCAGAGATACAGAGATCAAACCTTGTCTCCTGTGTGATTCAGGTTTGCAATTTAATTACATTGTTTTTGTGGTTACTGCTAGTTTGTGATTAGGTAATAAATGTGTATCCTCACCCTAGGGGTTCCTAAATTCTTAAGGTTATGAATCTTTTTATGCATTTCTTTCGTTTTCCCTAATACTGGGAGTGGAGGTAGTTCCAAAACAGTGGATTGTTGAAATATCATTACATCGTTATCAAAACGTGCACTGGTTGAACTTTATTTGTAAAGGAAAATCTGTAATCAGAAGAGGCTACTTCCATTGAGATCAGTTGCTCTTTTTGTTGAATTTGGGTTACCGGATTTCTCATTGATCTATGCTCTGTATGTTAGTTGTGTAAATTTAAATAGGAAGACGTCTAACAACTTTCTTACATATTAGTAATTAAGAGCAAAATTCCCTGATTCATACATTCCTTGTCATCAAAGCAATTTATAATAGTTAGTGCCACAGTCATCCATTGCCTCAACTTTTTTCCATTGATTTTGTACCTCTTCATAAGCATATCTTTGCAACCTATCATCCTATGTTAAATCTAAAAAAGGCTCTGTAAGGTTGTTATTTATCTTAGTTTGAATGTTTCCCGCCTATCTGCTGGTGCTAGTTTCTCTACTGCAGTAGTCTTTATAATTTCGTTCTGTACTTTCCCTTTTGGAAGGGGAGATTGTTGGATTCATTTTTGCAGATGCTGACTGTCTTTTCATGTCCCAGTTGAAGGCCTTGGGCATAGATAATATCTTAGGCTTTGATTGGCCAGCATCTCCATCTCCTGAAGCAATGATCAGAGCACTTGAAATTCTCTATTCTCTTGGAGTCCTTGATGATGATGCCAAACTTACTTCACCTGCTGGTTTCCAAGTTGCGGAGATTCCATTGGTACGTTGCCTTTATGCTAACTCCTCAATACTTAACATTTTGTTGACCTCTCGTTTTTTCAGTTCCCTTGACGCGATTGCCAGTTGGCTTTCTGCCAATTATATTTTGTATTATGTGAAAGGATATAGTTTAATTTGACTTTTTGGCATGTTTAAAATCCTGCCTGGGACTGCCCAAAACTGGTTTGACTGGATATAATGCGGTTTTTGGCCCAAGTGGGCCTTAATTTGGTAGGGTAAGGTAAATATCTTTTCTAATTCTCTCCCTGCCTCTAATCAGAAAAAAGAAAAATCCCCTGCCCAATTATTTGCCAAAAAGGGGCCGCTTTTGAAATAATGGGAGTTGGTTTTCCCTTGGTTTTTTTCTATCTAAAAAGATGCCTCTCCCACATGCCATTACCCCAGTTTTCTTCCCAGTCACACCAAGTGGTTGCAATATGAGTCACATGATGTCTGCTTTTAGATGGGATCTGGGATCATACCTTGTGATAGTATTTGCTATCTTATTGGTGTAAAAGAGTGCCCAGTAAATCTGAGTTTAGATCCCAGACATCCTCTAAAGCCTCATTTGGTGACTGGAGTTAAAAGACTGAGATGTTCATGATTGGGATCCTATAGGAATTGGACAGATATTATAGATTAATTATGATAGTTATTTAGATACTTTTAATATTTATCTTATATGTAATTTCTTTTAATTTATGGGGCCTTATTTGTCATTATTTATTTGTTTTAGGGTTTTAGTTTCCCTATATAAAGGAATACATGTAAGGGTTTTATTGAGATGAGACTTTGATTATTATTTATTATTGATATTAAATCCTTCTTCCTCAAATTATCTCTCTGTCCTCATCCCCTTCTTTTTCTTTTCTCATTCCCTTTTTCTTCTTTTCTCATCCCCTTCTTCTTCTCTTATCATCCCTAATTCTTCCCTACTACAATCTACATCACTTCACTTCCACTAGAGTCGTAAATACAATGCATGGATATTTGAAATGTCTGTATTTTGTGGGATCAGTCCAGTCTGATTTAAATTCCCATTGCATAAGAATGTTTTGAGCTCAGCATTGGAATAGATCTCACCCAGTGTCCCCCTCCTTCCCCTGCTGCCTTCCAACCCGTGGGAGTATACAATGCCAACTTCCTGATAGGAATTGGATTATATTTCGTTGTAGTAGGCGTAGGCGTAGGCGTAGGGATTATGAGTTATTTGTCATTTTATTTTTCAGGGGTTTAGTTGTCATTATAACTACTTATTTCTTTTAGAGTTCTTTTAGGATTTGTGGTCTCCCTATATATATGGGAGATATGTTATTTGTTTTGGTAGACTTTGATTATTGATTATTGATATTGAATCTTCTTCCTAAAATTCTGTCTCTATTCTCATTCCCTTCTTCTTCTTTTCTCATCCTTTTCTTCTTCCCTTCTCATCCCTAGTTCTTCCTTAATACGATCTACATTAATTTGGTATCAAAGCTCAACTTCGATTCAAGAAAAAAAAAACACAAAGTTACTATTTACGTGCACTGTTCATCCGAAAACACTAATCATCAGTGAAAAAAAAAAATTTAGATTTCGTCGTTGTAGCAATAGCCTGGTGGGTTAAGTTTTGACCCAAAGTTCCCAGTATATTCAGCAAATTACAAAAACATTCCCATAAGTCCCAAAAATTACAGACACATCCCAAGAGGTCTTCAGAAATTACAGAAACACCCCAAAAAATTTCAGAAGTTGCAGAACCACCACCAGAAAATTTCAAAAATTACAGAATCACCACTAGAAGTTTCAAAAATTGTAGAATCTTCCCCCCAGAAGTTCCAGAATTACAGAAAACATTCCCAATAGATCCATAAAGTTGCAGAATCATCCCCAAAAAAGTTTCAGAATTTCTTCTTGATTATGGTATGCATATCCTATAGAAATTTGAAACTGATATTTTTATTCATTAATAAATTAAAAAAATTTGCAAAGGATCCAAATTATTTGTCAATTACATTCTTGAACTTGTTTTGGCGTCATTCCCTTGTTCCAAGAGTCACTCATGAGTTTCTCTAATGCGCATGTTTCAAGAATCTCTCCTCAATGTCATCATCATAGGAAGTCTAAGAATATTTATATGGAGTCAAGAGGGTCATCCTACTGTTTACTTCAGCGAAAAACTCAATGAAGCTAAATAACGATACTCTACATATGACAAAGAGTTCTACGCTGTGGTACAAACTCTTCGCCATTGGAGGTATTATCTATTGCCATCTGAGTTTGTGTTATATTCTGATCATCAGGCATTAAAATACCTTCATTCCCAGAGAAAATTGAGTGTTAGGCACGTTAGGTGGGTTGAGTTCCTTCAGGAGTATATTTTTGTTCTTCACCACCGCGCGGGCATTGAAAACAAGCCTGCAGATGCTCTTAGTCGTGTAGTTGCTGTTTTACAGACTATGAGTGTCCATGTGATCGGTTTTGACAGGATTAGAGATGAGTATGTCTCTTGTCCTGACTTTGGTATTATTTTTCAGGATGTTTAGTCTGATAACCGCCATAAGTACATTAACTTCCTCCTTAGAGATGGTTACTTGTTTAGAGGGTCGCGCTTATGTATTCTCCGTACTTCATTTAGGGATTTCCTGATTTGGGAATTACATGCGGGAGGTTTGACAGGCCACTTTGGTAGGGATAAGACATTTGCATTTGTTGAGGAGTGGTTTTATTGGCCCACTTTGAGGCGTGGCATTGTTAGGATAGTGTCACAGTGTCGCACTAGTTAGTTAGCAAAGGGTAGGAAACAAAACACTGGGTTGTACACACCATTAACTGTTCCACACACACTATGGAGAGATCTTAGTATGGATTTTGTCTTAGGATTGCTTAAAACAACCCGTAATCATGATTCCATTTTATAGGTTTTCTAAGATGGTCCATTTCATTCCTTGCACGAAGTCTATTGATGCCTCACATATAGCAAAGTTATTTTTTTAAAAGATCATCTGACTACATGAGTTGCCTATTTCCATTGTGTCTAATAAGGATGTCAAGTTTGTGAGTTATTTTTGGAAGACACTTTAGAAATTCTTTGGAACTTGTCTTAAGTTTTCCTCTGCCTTTCATCCCCAAACTGATGGTCAAACTGAGGTAGTCAATCGTAGTTTAAGAGATTTGCTTAGGTGTCTAATGGGTGAGAAGATGAAAAATTGGGATTTGTTGTTGCCTACTGCTGAATTTGCTTATAATAACTCCGTCAACAGGTCGACTGGTAGATCCCCTTTTGAAATTGTTTATGGCCATTCCCTAAGACAGCCCATTGATTTACTACCTTTACCTCCTGATTCCCGCCCCTCACACTCAGCCGAAGCTTTTGCCCAGCATATTCATGACTTGCATGCTGACATAAGACAAAAAATTACATTAAGTAATGAGAATTATAAATTGACTGCGGATGTTCATCGTAGGAATAAAGAATTTCTTATGGGAGACTATGTCATGGTTTGTGTGCGTCCTGAATGTTACCCTAAAAATTCTTTCAAAAAGTTACATGCTCGAGCCACTGACCCTTTTCATATTCTTTGTAAGCTTGGACCTAATGCATATCACTTTGACTTACCTTCGAATATGAATATTAGTCCTATTTTCAATGTGGAGGACTTGTTTCCTTATCATGGTACTTTTGAGCCTCCTATGTTGCCAGCCGGTGTTCCTACAGGTGCACTTGCTTCGTCATCAGCATCAACTACAGTTCCTATTCTTCCATCGTTTCCACTACAGCTGCATGACCAGATTGTAGATGTACTTGATGATCAGATTGTGGGCTCCTCGGATGGAGGATATCATCGTTATCTTATTCGGTGGAGAGATCGTCCAAAGACTAATGATTCATAGATTACTGAGGAGTTTCGTCGGTTTGACCCTAATCTTCTAGAGCATTATTATGATCGTATCTCTCTGAAGGCGAGTTCTTTTCAGCCGGGGAAAAATGATAGGAATCGGATTATATTTCGTTATAGTAGGCGTAGGCGTAGTGATTAGGAGTTATTTGTCATTTTGCTTTTCAGGGGTTTAGTTGTCATTATGACTATTTATTTCTTTTAGAGTTCTTTTAGGATTTGTGGTCTCCCTATATATATGGGAGATATGTTATTTGTTTTGGTAGATTTTGATTATTGATTATTGATATTGAATCTTCTTCCTAATATTCTCTCTCTATTTTCATCCTCTTCTTCTTCTTTTCTCATCCCTTTTTTCTTCACTTCTCATCTCTTCTTCCCTAATAGATCTACATCAGTTCCCATTACTTGTGCCTTCGCACAATTATAGTGTGGCTTAATTGTTGCCATGCATGGTAATTTTTTTCTTAAACTGTATCCCAGATATCAATAGTGCTCTATTAGAAGATTTATATTCTTTTCAGACTTCCATAGAGCCTGCCACTGTCAATTATGGTTATCAATGGCATACGCTTTTGAAATTATGTACATTCATAATACACATACAAGCATGTGCATGCATGCATGTTTTTCGTTGAAGTTGAAGTTAGAGGCAGGAGGGTGAAGTGAGAGGGGGGGGGGGGGAGATCTGATGCTTTTATCATCAGTTTAGGTACTGCCTATCGAATGATTGATTCTATTCCTCTGATTGCTGGTTAATTTATTTTCAGCCTTTTTTTTGGGTTTCTGATCCATGCCTTGCCTTATAGATTACTGTTGACAGCTCTGATGGGCATAGCATGTATGATGTTTCTTGTCATGCTCGATGTGATAACACTGTTCGATGCCACTGATAGCTTTCCAGCTTTTCTGATTTTAATTTTTTAAAGGAAAAGAGGATGCTGAATGCCATTATTTGAAATTGAGAACTGCAATTTTCTGTAGGATCCAATGATCTCAAAAATGATCTTAGCGTCAAACCAACTTGGGTGTTCAGAAGAAATCATCACTATTGCTGCCATTCTTTCCATACAGGTGGATTTGCTTCCCTTCTACCAAAATTTGTAGTTTACTTCTTGAAGTCTTATCAGATGATGATTAGTATTTACGAATTTTCATAACTGAATATACTAAATGTAAGGGAAGTATAAATGTAAGATTCTGCAATATAAAACTACTCATTTTGTAATACTGAAACACAAATGTTCCTGCTAACAAGGAATTCCTGTCTTCTTTTTTTTTTTCAGTCTATCTGGGATTCTGTCGGGGGATCACAGAAGAAATTGGATGAAGCCAAGATGAGATTTGCTGCTGCTGAGGTTCTTGATTTCCTTTTAGTGTTTTGATTTGCATAAATCAACTTGACTTGACAACAATTAATATTCCCAACTGGATGAAACCCGGAAAAACTTGGTTTCCCATGCCTAATATGACGTTCAATTGATTGAATAAGTTGTTTTCAAGATTTCACGTACTCCGTTGTCTTCATTGCATGCTTGGAACCATCAGGCTTTAGTAACTAGTAAAAATTGTGGGATATTGGCTGACCTGAATACCTTGATGCTGATCTCATACGAAGTGGAATCCACTTTTGCAAGAAATTTTTAAATGTGATTATGCCCCTCCTTTGCCATGAATCAAGTGTATTAACTACCACTGTTCCTCTAAAAAGTCTGTCGAAAAGGTAAGAAAGCATTTGTACCCCCGAAAATTGAGCAGTGCAAGACTGACCTTTTCATACCAGTAAGTTGATAATCATGGGCATCCCTCCTTTTGTAAATGATAATCAGAAAATAAAATGTCTGTTGTCTCAAGTACGTGTTCACTCTGCCTACGAAGTCGAAGTCAAAGTCAAAAGGAAAGAAGAGAATGAAAGGAGAAGAGGAATTAAGAATTAAGTCAAATTTTTACCACTATGGAAAAAAAGGTATGCATCCTGGTTCCTGAATCAAGTAATGACCATCTAATGCATGTCATCATAGCAGGTAATTAACAGGTAAGAGACCGCCTTACTATGTGATTGATAAGTTGCATATCACCATATGACATAATAGCTTGGATGATGAAGAATCTGAAATCTAAAGCCGCTGTCTTGCTGCCAAGACTCTTTCCACAATTCGAAAAATTTCTTTGTTGGTTATGCTTCTACAATTTAGATTGTGAAAATTTTTGGGCACTTAGTATGGAAAATTGACATGCATGGAGGAAGAAAGAATCTTAAATTGTAGCTGTGATATTTAAGAAAGCAGGAGTAATGTTCTCTGAATGATAATATTCTAGTTTCTTTTGATTGTAAATGTAAGAACCATTTTGTGTGTCAAGCAATTAAGCCCGTGGAATATTTCATCTTTCTGCCTACTAACAACAAATTTTGGGACATAATGTTGTCCTTGTGATAAGAAGTTGATTAATTATAGGAGACCTATTTTGCAAATTTTGGCAAAAAATAAATGAAGTGCAATCACGTCTCAAATGCTTTGGAGTATAACTAAAAGTGAGTTACTGATCAAATTCTACACCATCAGGGGAAGACGAGATGGAAAGGCACATAATTGTTGTCCTGTTTCCTCGACCCAGGCCTTGCTCATGCCCTTTTGTGTTGTTAGCCATAGAATTTTCATGGATAAAATGAGCCCAGTTTTAGTTCTAACTCTCCACATGCTGATTCCTCACTCAGTTTTTTATTTTGGAACTTCTATAACTGCTATTTAGTTTACTTTGTATCTATAGCTTTATCTGAAAGCAGCAGTATCTTGTTTTGTTCATGGGTGGTTATTTTGTAGGACTTATTTTCTTTATATGCTAACATTTACGCCTCTGCAGGGTGATCATGTGACCTTTCTAAATGTTTACAAAGGATTTCTTCAGTCTAATAAATCTTCAAAGTGGTGTCATAAGAACTTTGTAAACTATCATGCCATGGTGAGCCTCTGTTATCATCTGTTTTGAATGATTGTAGGAGTTAGATTCTCACTCAATATTATTGGATTTGGTGCATAGTATCTGTCATATGGAGTTTCACTTATATATTAATGCTCTTACTGAGCATTTTATAGCCATTTTGAATGTTGATTTTCTGTCATTCTTGTGCAGAAAAAAGTTGTTGAAATTAGAGAGCAACTCAGAAGAGTAGCACAGCAGCTAGGCATAGTTCTAAAATCGTGTGAAAGTGATATGCAGGTAACTCTGTTCAACAGATCTAGTATAAATTTTGTATCTTGAAGCGGGATGAACACTCCGGACTATACCTCCTTTCTGTTTCTTCTTTCCTTTGCTTAGTGAGTTCACCTAAAATGTATGATATCACTCAATTAATCCTGATCATCATATAAGGTCACGGTATGAAATAGTCTAAAAAACTTGTTTTTTTTTTTTCATCTTTCTATTTTGATCTGACCTACTCAATTAAGATGATGCATATGGTAATCAACTACACAGAATGGGGAAGTGCAATATATAGATATTTCTACTGCAAAAAAAGGCTACTTCAAATCAAGCCAATATGGCAACTACACAATCCACCTTGGTGCTTTGTAGTGCAACAAATGGTTATCATTATGAAGCATCTGTTGTTTACATTTTAGGTCTCATTGTCCTAGGGAACTCAACTAACAAATGGTAAGATTATTGAACTTAATACATCATTTTGATAGATACATTGAAAACACAGTTGTATCCATTGTTTACATTTTAGGTCTCATTGTCCTAGGGAACTAACTAACAATTGGTAAGATTATTGAACTTAATACATCATTTGGATAGATAACCAGTGAGACCATTTTCTTTTATTTACTGGGCCTTCATCTCATTGAAAACACAGTTGTATCCATGTATCTTCTTACTTCTGTTCTCTTGTATTCATGTATCAACATCATGTTACTTCTGTTCTCTTCCAAAACTAGTTATTGGAGTTTCTCAATTGATACATGGGATTGGAAGATAATGAGTCTGTCTCTGCATGTTTACATGTCATATGCAATTGGAAAAATGGGAAAAAAATAAATTAGAACTTTGTGCCGACTTGACACCTTTGGCTCGAGTGGAATAGAGGAACCAAAAGATGCAGCCAATTGTAAGCTTGTGTCTTTGACAGCAGATTTGTCAATGAAATGAGGAACATCTGATTTGATGTATCTTTGGCCTTTTGTCGGCAGTATACCTTAATGAATGAGGTGATCTGCCATAGTAAAGTGGTTAAAGTCTCTTGATTATACTGTACAGGTGCAGCCACCCTTTGCCAACACTTACTTCATTGCTACTCCATTTTCTTCTTTTCTAAAGAAAATTGTCTGAGTATCATTGTTTCTAAATATTGAATTCATTTCACTCTTTCCACAATGGTATATAATACCCTAGTAATTTGTTATCTTGCAGGTAGTAAGAAAGGCAGTTACTACTGGATTTTTTGCTTATGCGTGTCATTTAGAAGTGAGTATGAAAACTTTCGTGCCCTCATAATCATTGTCATTTCTCTCTATGAAGAAACTTCTGTAATTTATACTCATTTGTTTATTGGAAATTTTTGGTCTGTAATATCCTGAAATTTAATTTGCTTATCTGCTTAAAAGGCTTACAGTCACAATGGGATGTACAAGACTCTTAGAAGCTCTCAAGAAGTTTATATTCATCCCTCATCTGTGTTATTCAGGTCCGTAAAAATATCTTGATATTGATTATTGCAGAAAGTATCGATCGCTCGAGGATCTATGTAGATTTATGTGATTTGGATGTGATGTAGCTTCAACTTAGTTGAAGAATGTCTTTTATTTTGTGAATAATGGGGTATGCACTAATCTTTTAATTAGAAAGATAATGAAAGGTGAATGCTGAAACATGCATGTGACCTTACTGATGATAAAATGATCGGAGTTGACATGAGCAGTGGTACCGATAGCTGAATTGAGAGCATTGAAATGGATGTGCCAGTGCCAATTGGCTGCATTTTTTCATGGTAAATTTTGTTCATTTGATGTGTGATGGCTTAAGGATTATACCTTGTGCATAATGCTGTCTAGCACCACGTTGAATGCTTTCTGCTCATTGGACCCCTACTCTAATAGTGTTTGCATTTTCTTTTCTCATGGTCCAAGTGGGTACCAAGGATCAAAATATCATTTCAAAACTGTTGAAACATCCATAACGTTTTTGTTTCTAAGGAGACCAAAACGAATCAGTGATGGAATCGAAATTCTAATACTTCGAAGTATTCCATAATGTTTCGAAATGTTTTGTTATATTTCAATACATTTACACAATTATTTCAGAATATTTTAAGGTATTTTAAGATATTTTATTATATTTTGATCAATATTTTGAAAAAAATAATTCTTAAATTCTTTATTTTTTTTTTCACTCTATTTTCGAAACATTTTTGTTTTCTAGGTGACTGAAACTATGCACCGAAATGAAATTTTGATCCTTGGTGGGTACTAATCAATTTGAGAGTTGGATCCCTCTCAAAAAAAAGGGGAAAATCTCCCACCCAGCTTGAATCTATATACTGCAGAGAATCAAACCAACCTAAGCCTTGCAAAAGTTGAATTGGGAATTTCTTGTTTGACTTTGTCTATGAGATTAAATTTTGCATTAGAATCCAAATGTATGAAACCTGACCATCTTACTATAGTTTGATATCATAAGACAACCAAATCATTTGATATGGTTTATGAACCTTTCTGACAAATTAAACATGTTTACCTAGAAACAAATGAATAGACTTATGATGAGGTTTCATTTCCTTGAACTTGGTCCTGCAGAGTAAATCCAAAGTGGATCGTATACCATTCCCTTGTCTCAACTGATCGACAATACATGCGCAATGTCATCTCCATAGATCCTTCTTGGCTGATAGAAGTGGCTCCGCATTTCTACCAGCGCCAACAGCTCAATCCCCATGCTCACTGATGGCTTCTATTTTGCTGGTTGGTGGAGTTTGCTCAACCAGGAACCCTCAAGCACCATACTGCTTGATACTTTCTTCTACAAAGCGTGGAGGGATCACCCTTATCCACATAGAGCTGGGAATTTATCTACATATACAGCTTGTAACCTTAAAAATTGTTTATTAATGGACGATACTGCAGCTGATATCTGTCTGTACCTTGTAAAATTTTTGGGGGAGGATTTCGACCAGAGCTGATTATCTTGTTTGAATTTGGAGCTGCCAAATTTTGATGAAGATTTTTGTTCCCTTAATCCAGTCTGGTGTTCGTCTGATTGTATAGTTTTTGCACACAAAAGAACACACAGGGAATGAGAACTCACTCTTTTCAGGAACATGCTGGCACACATTATTTTTTTATTTATCTTTTTTGGTTCAACGGTATGGGGTATATGGGCTAATTGATGCTCACCTTAACTAATTCCCTTTCCGATTCAGTCAAAGACATGTCATCTATGTTAAGACCAAGGTATTCACGAGGGATAAATAACTCATAATCTAATTTAAGGGATTGTCAAAATTCGAACTCAGGACGTGTGAGTTTAGAGTTTATACTTGTTACTATTTAAACTATTACTTTGGGTTTTGTTGGCACACATTATTGATTATAGTGGTTTTTGCCTAAGTTGGTCTTCCACAATTAACTTTGTTGTTTTTCCTTTTTTTGAAGGAAGTCATTTCTGTATAAGAATGAATATGGTTTGTGGTGTACATTTACTCATACAACTGAATTGTGAATCATATATACTCTACTGGATTATGAAATCCATGATACTAACTGACCAACTGGTTTAATTTCTATACAACATAGTCTTAAAGGGGGTACAATTCTTTAGAAAACTATCTGGTAAGGAACAAGATAGGTCTGTTCTGCTTTAAATCTCAAACTGGGAAGGTTTTCATTCAATCATCTCTAGTTTTTAGGTGATTTACAGTGCTGAAATGTTGCAGAAAACTGTTTCCGGAATGAAAACTATGAAACTGAGGGAATTATTGTGCTTACTAAAAACAGTTTCACCAAATCAAAGTCAATGGTTAGATTTACCGATTCAATCATTCCCATTACTTTAATAATAAAAGAAGCATAGCAGTACCAAAAAAGAGAGGATCATACTTTATCCTAATCGGAGGGCCCCACTTCACGTGGGGGCCCTGACAATTTGCCAAATGAAGACCAGAAATTTTTTAGGGCTACATATCCACACATCCGGTGGAGCCCACCCGTAAATAGCTCTCCACGTTTTTTGGGTGAAGAACCAAAGGTGGGCAAGTCTCGACTACGACCACCTCGAATCTATACTCTACATATATATTTATATTATTTTTTTAATTATATATTAATTTATTTATGTATTGATCGTAATATTAATTCAACGTCGGGGCCTCTTTAACTTTTTTTAACAATACAATTCATAAATTGGATGATATTTTTTTAAATAATTTTTTTTTTTAGAATTATAAATAATCTGAATATAGACAAAAACGTGACACAAAAGAAGGAATCCTTTTTGTTTGGATTTTGGGGCCCAATAGGTGATAATATCCAAAACTACATGGAGTGGTTGGCATTTTTTATAGTTTTTTTTTATTTTTTTGTTTTTTGATCGGCATGTGGTTTGCCAAAGTGGTGTTAGTTGGACTTGGAGCAATCATAGGTACGTGTCAATTGTCCAAGCGATACGCTTTAAAAGTAAAGATTTTCATATGTCGATGTGATTGTTAGTTCTATAATAAGGGTGAAAATTTTAGATATCTAACTTTAATACCACTGAAAATCAATGCAAAATTAATAGATTAAAATCAGGGGCCAATCTAACATGGGGTAGTGGGGCAACTGCCCCCACTGAATTTTTGAAAAGTTTTGAGGTGTAATTGAAATTTTAAAATAATTTAAGACTCGCCCCCACTAAAGAAAATTGGAAAACAATTAAGGATAGTTTTAATTTCTGTTGAAGATGATAATTAGCCATCACTTACTATATGTTTGTGATTCGGTACAGGACAAAATTTAATGATTATTGTTCATGATAAATTTTATATGAAAGACCAATTTAATTTGTTATGGTTACTATGAATTTCATTTGAAATTGATTTTTTACATTTAAATTTTAAAATTTGTTTGTGATGGATTAAAATTGTTTGATTGATTGCTTGAAAATTAAGTTTGTCTATTCTGTGATGAAATGAATTTTTTCAAATTGTTTGGAATAATTTTTTTTCTAATTAATTGGATTTATATATTTGGAATTACCAATTATGAATTATATTGGATTAAATTATGTCAATTAATTAGACTTTAGCAATTTGTTTTTGAAAGATTAAAATATTTGCATATCTACGTTTGGTTTAATAGATTTGTAATAAAATGGTTTTTCTAACAACGATTCTATTAAATTTGGTCAATTTTTTTTCAATATTTATTATTGTAACAATTTTTTTGTTAAAAACACAATGATATAGTATTGAGTTTGATTCTAACAAAATAAATTAACTTTTTGAATAAATTATAATTTTTTTTAAAAAAAATAACATTAACAATTTAAAAAAATAATAATAACATTATGATTTAAGTCGTGACATATTTTAGTTGTCCCCACTACATATAAACCTCTGGCTCCGTCCTTGGTTATAATTAACTAATTTTCAACACGAATAAAAAAAAATCCAATTAATATGAAATAATAAACGAAATTAGTTAGTGTCAAACGCAAATAACTTGAATTTTAAACGATAAACACGTTTAAGGGCTATTGTATAAATAAAATAGCTGATTTATTAACAAGAAATTTGTAAGGACTTTTCATACTTTACACCTTGAAAGATTTTAAAATTTTAATTTTTATCCTTAAAGATTGTATTTTTCACATTGTACCCTCAATATATTAAAAATATTACAATGTAGTTATTCTATTAGTTTCTATTATTTTTTCCGTCAAAAGTCAGCCCATTGACATTGACGGAAGAAATTAACGGAAAGCTAATAGAAGAGTCATATTACAACACTTTTAATCCATTGAAGACGCAATGTAAAAAAATTAATATTTATCGGTGTAAAATAAAAAATTTAAAATCTTTCAAGGTACAAAATACAATTCTCCTAATTTATAAATTAAGAGATTTCTTTTACTTATTATTGCTATAATATAAAGTTGAATAGATTTACAGCCTGTGAAAAAACAATGAATGATGGGGAAATAATGAGATCCTGTTGTCAAATTTGTTAATTTATGTTGGTCTCAAATAGGAGTGTCAATCGTGTCGTGTCATTATTAGTCGTGTTATTTTCGTATCGTATCATTTTCGGTGCATGTCGAGCTCGTGTCAATATTTGTGTTAATAAAAAAATATTTAATTTGACAACAACTAATATAATATTATTTAAAAAATTATAAAAATCTTATTTTTTATCTAAAATACTCATTAAATAATTATTTTATATATACAGTACCCATTAATCGTCTTATTCGTGTCGAATCTTAATTTGACCCATTTATTACTCATGTCAACGAATCGTGCTATTTTCGAATTCGTGTCGAGTTCGATTCGAGTCGAATTTGTGTTCGAGTCAAAAATTGACGCCCTAATTGCAAATATAAAAATATCACCACTTAGTGTGTTTCCATTGTGACCCCTTAAATAGACTAGTTAGGGCTTATGTGTGATTGGGCTGTATGGCTATTGGAGCTTTGACTTTTATTGGTGCCAGCAGATTCTTATTCCTATCTATAAGATTTGTCATGTGGCGGCTAACATATGTATCTGATATCGACCCGCCTTTTATTTAATGTTATTTTTAATCTCGTGAAAGTTGTGATTCATTAACAAGACGGGCAGACCGTCGTTTGAATGAATCACATATCCAAGTTTTTAGCGTGAGTTATAAATTTTTATTCAAAATTTAAGTTTTGATTTAACTGATATATGAGTTGAGAGACTAGTTCATACATCTAAAATTTAGTTTCGATTCTTTGTAGACTCACAAGCCTAGACAACTAACTCACCTCGACCTTACAAAAAATTTTCCCTTACAACCGAAAAAATACATATGTATCTGGTATAAGATTATAAAATTTCATTGTCATAGTACAAAAGTCGTCTTGTAATTAAAAAATTTTCATATTTTCAGGTTTGAAACTTCCAACATTCAAAATACAACTACTACCGCTTCTCATTATAAAAATGCAAAAAAGATCACATGCCCAAAGACTATATGGCCACCACTTTGATTTTACTCGTTTAGTTGAATTCTTAGTATAATATTCGGTTTTTCAAATTCTTTCAGAGTTTGGGTAATGTTCTGTACGTGTGTAAAACGTGGAATGCTCACATGTACATTGTGTTATTTGTATTGTGTCGTATTCGTGTCGAGATTCACAAAAAAAAATATTTATTTTATGTATTTTGAGTATTAAATATTAGTTTAAATTATTTATTATGTGTATTTTATAATTATATCAATTTTATAATCGTTCGTGTCAGGTTCGTACGGGTCAGAGTTGACACCCTTAATCTTTAGTCCAATATAGTTGTACAATAAAAATTATATCTTCAAGATTAGATCATATCTTTTTTTTTTTTGAGCCAGTTTACTTACACCTCGATTAATCTACACTTCGATAAAAAATAGATCATCTGCACTTCAATTAAAATATTCATGAAAAATATATTTCTCATAACCTGATCCCAATCAGGTGTCAATATTCGTGCTCAAAATATTTAAGTTTACAATTCGTCTCTGTGACCATATGAACTATCTCTTAGGATTAAAATTAGGTCATGTGATTGCATAAAGTGAGAGCAAAACAAGGTCTCCACATTCCTAAGAAATAATTTTTTAATTTTTTTGAAAATATTTAATGCCTAGTTTTAAGTGAGTAAAATAATTCACTGGAATAAATTTTTAAAATTTGAAGAGCTGTTCTCGTTCCACAAATCTAATCATGATGATAATGTTGAATTAATATTTTTTGAAGAAAAATATAGTAATAGTTTTTAAAATATGTGTTTTGTGTCAGTTTAATATCCATTCTTTTAATCGTGTCAATTTAGTCTATTAAATATTTAATTTGTATCACTTTGATCCAATCGAAAATCACAATTTAAGTTGACTAGACATTGGTGCACGTATCCCATTTGACTACACTTAAGGGTTCCTCAAATCTATAATATACTTTTTTTTTCGTTTCCCTTACATTTTTAAAAAGAATAATGTTATGTAACTCAAATCCGTAACCTATATTGGGATTATAAATTTGGGATACATAGTATTTCCTTTTTAAAAATTGCCCTTTAAATGTGATTACGTGAGATACACATGATCGTCTTCATTATTCAATTTGAACTATTATTTTTAATTGTACCAAAATAAAATAAATTGAATACTTGAAAGACCCAATAAATACAATTAAAATATTATGAATCAAAGTGACACAAAGTATATAATTTAGAAACCAAAAATATATTTTACCCAATTTTTTTTTATTATAAACATCCACTCGACTTTAAATCCCTCTAAATTAACTATATCCCATAAAATGAAGTACATATTGGATAAAACGGTCACACTATATTAGTATCGTCACGAGATATAACTACTCAATAATAATTAATTGAATAGTAAAATGGACTTCACTCATTCAAATAACTACCCTCCATATAAGATAATAACAATTCATGTAAAAAAAAAGAGCAATGTTGCATAGATTTAAAAACTAAACTTGATAAGTAGGGTCACCTTATTCACTTATTTATTTAAAATTAGACTGTTATACCACGTAAATAAGCTTGTCAATAGAGTAGATTTTAATCTAAATTCAAATTTATTTAATCGGATATGAATTAATATTTTAATATGTTCACCTGCATCGGATAAATTTTTTTAACCAGATTTATATTGGATACATGTAAATTTGATCCAATAAAAATGTGATCTGGTATCTATATATACATACATAGTTAGTTAGATTATTAATTAAATTGACATGAAATTAAACGGAAATTATTATATAAAATGATTGGTTGATTAAATTAAATTGAAAGTTAACTTATATTTAATAAAATTATTACTTTTTTATGAAATATTGTTGCATTCAAATTTTCAGATCAATAGGATAATTGAATATCCGATTATTAACATATATGAATATGAATTACAATTTTAAAACTCGTCAATTAAACAGATCAAATTCAATTTAAATTTTTATCAAAATTTAAATCTGGATGAATCAAGATTCAATTCAGATCTAATCCGTTAACAAACTTTATTCGTAACATTGATCCCGTGATATATAACGGCATCAATGTTTTAACACAATTGTCACCTGCCCGCAGTCCACTTTAAAAAAAAAGTCATATGTTTAATATTTAGAGGTAGGTATGCCTAACTTTTTTTTTTTTTTTAGGAAAAATTACCCTTAAAATCTCTTAAATTTTATCATTTAATCATTTAAACCCCTATTATTTAAAATATTACATATAAACCTCTAAAATTTATACGTTTATAATATTTAGACCTCTGTCGTCTGTCACTGATTAGTAAATTATACTCAAACTCTTTAAAATTTGTGCATGTATAATATTTAGACACCTCAAGTTTAACATGTTACATTTAAATAAAAAATACTCTAATTAAAGATAGAATATTAAATATTTAAAATTTTACAACTAAAATTCATATTTTATCGTATCATTTATTAAAATAAAATAAAAAATATAAATTTAATTTTTTCTTAAAAAATTATAATTAGTATGTAATTATACTATCTATTGGAATAAAACTAAGAAAATCAAACAAGCGGTCTAAGTCATTCATAATAGAACATGAATTTTACAACAAAAATTTATGTTCTATTATATCATTTATTAAAATAAACTCAAACATAAAAATCTAATTTTTTTTTCTTAAAAATCGTAATCAGTATGCAATTTTATTATCTATTGAAATAAAACTAAAAAAATTAAACAATGGCTCAAACCGTAATGGATATAATATTTTCTAACTTTAATTAGGGTTAACAACCAAATTAAATTCCAATAGATATTATAATTGCATAATAATTATGATTTTTTAAGAAAAAATTAAAATTTTATTTCAATAAATGTCATAATAAAATATAAATTTTTGTTATAAAATTTAAAATATTTGATAAATATATTTGATTGAAGTATTTTTTTGTCTAAATATAATATTTTAAACTTGAGATATCTAAATATTACACGCTTATAAACTTTAAAGAGTCTGAGTGTAATTTACTAACATATATACTAATGGACATTGACGACAGGGTTTAAGTGTTCCGCCTGTACAAACTTTAAAGGATTCATGTGTAATATTTTAAATATTAGGGGATTTAAATGATTAAATGATAAATGATTTTCAGGGATGTTGGTGTAATTCTCCTTTGTTTTCGTGTTTAAGAGAAGGCTGAGAAGCACCTTTATGCAACCTTCAACCTTGTTCAGTTTTTTCTCTATGCCATTCCTGCAATACCAAGCTCTCCAGCTATGAAGATGATAAGGGCCACATTTTTCCTTCTTCTTCTTCCTCTCCTAATGACCCACCTGGGTTCTAGCCGCTCCGTTACAGAGAACTTGAGCTTCAAATCTGATGGTGTTGATAATACAAGCCGATCAGCAATGGTTGAATTGGATTTGAAGGCGTCAACGGTGACTTGTGAGCCAACTTATGGCTTCTTACCATGCACAACAGAGCTATGGGGGCAACTCTTCCTCATAGTGGTGTATCAGGTCTTGCTTTCACTTGCACAGCAGTATGTCTCGGTTGGCTCTGACCACTTCTTCCAGATTGTTGGACCTGGTGTCTTTGGAGCTGGATTATTCCACGTCCTTGGCGCAATCCCAGAAATAATGGTGGTGCTCAGTAAGTAACTTCCTTGAGCTTTTCTTTGGCTGGTAATTCAGTCGAGCTTGTATATTTAAGTATGCTCTCATTCGCTTTGGTTGTAATTTGTCTAGTCGAGCTCAAATTCATCTTAGCATATGTTGCAAGTATTCGAGTCGAACTCGACCTACAATTTGCTTTGACTTCTCAACAAAAAAATTTGCAAAAGTTAAATGGTATTACTCAAAAATCCATTTAGCGAGAGAGAGAGAGAGAGAGAGAGAGAGTGGGTATATGATTTGAAGCTACCGAAGGATGAGTTTAGGATTAGTCATCTTTTGGACAAAGGGATTTGGTAAATTCGAGCTGAGCTAGACATTGCTTGTATTCGACACATTTGCAAAACAAAATTAAAAATCTAATCAATGCTTTTGTGTTGTAATTTGAACAATCTTGAAAGAACCAAAATCAAGCTGAGCCTAAACCAAGTTCAAGCTAATCAGATCATTTAACAGCCCTAATTTTATGTTAACACTTCATTTGGTTCAACTTGTACACAGGACATGGCTGTGAGTCTATCAATATCATTAACCACAAGGCAATGTTTAAGCCTGCATTCAACGAATACGCACACATAGTCTAAATTCTCTCTGTTGGAGGTTTTACAACTTTGAGTTCCATGACTAATTCAGTTCACATTTCAAATTTTAGGGACCAAAGTGACATGATACAATTGTGTACTTTTAGTACCAAAAGTATATTTTACTCCACTTATAGCTTGCCTAACATCCCTTCATATACTTAGAGTTGTGAAAAATCTGATGTAGTAGATTATGTTCTTTTCAGTGTCTGGACTTTCAGGAAGCAGTGAAACTGCTGCAGTACAGGCAACAATGGGAATGAGCAGTAACGCAGGATCTGCCGTCATGAATCTTACACTTATATGGGGTGCTTGTGTTGCTTTTGGCAGCTATGATCTTTCAGAGGACTCGGCCGTATCACATGTGGAAGACAAGAGACCAATAAGTCTAACTGGTTATTCCCTCTTCCCTAAATTTCTTCATGTGTCCTTGAACATCCGGTAATTATACAATCGACCAAGGCTCTCTCTTTCTGCAGGTTTTGGTGTTACTACTGATGTTGAAACTAGCTATACAGCAAGAATCATGATCATATCCATGATCCCATTTGTCATTCTTCAACTAGCTACTATTCTCCATTCATCTTCTGCGACACATGTGATAGTTCTAGTTTCTTTCATAGTAACGCTCGCATTATTCTTTGCTTACTCCTTCTATCAGGTAATACAAATTTGATCTTAAGTTTCATTTATAAGATGTCTGCGTGAAACAGAGACATCTTATAACTGAGAAGAGTTATAACTAAGATGTCTGCGTGAAACAGAGACATTTGTTTCTATTTGTTCCATGCAAGAAACAGAGAAGAGTCGGAGTAAATGCATGAATTACAATCACTCGAAAACTTCTTGCTCCAGAAATAGCATACGGAAAACATCAGAACAGTTGTGGAAAACATAAAAATGTCATTTTAATGTGGTTAACTGAATAAAGTAATGAAGCTAGTCAGGAAGCATCCAATTATTTCAACGCAGAAAAGTGTGACTACTGTGTATAATCAAACACAAAGGGGCCCTCTCCCTTTTATTTCATGTGTCATCACAGAGCAATTTGAATACTTGTGCAGGCATTTGAGCCGTGGATTCAGAACAGGAGATTTGAGTATGTGATACAAAAGTTTGTGCAGGACAAGTTACTAAACGTCCTCTCAAGAAACGGCAAGCCCAATATACCCGTAATAAAAAGGTAAACCCCCTGATTTCTATCGTCAATCCTGTATAAAGTAAATTTTAGAGGATTACTGCATCTCATCACATAAGTACTGTCGAATCATGTGTCAATTAACGTTCCGCATAAACACATGGTTACAGAATAAGTTGTATTCTATCTTCTCTGGATATGAGCAGAACATAGTGAGCAGAAGCTGTAGTTTCTCCAAAAACATACACACAGTCACAAGCACCAAACCGAAGGGCTGATAAAAACCTCTTTTTAACTTTGCTTACAACCTTCATATGAACACAGCTATGGTTTTGTGCAGTATCTTTGGCATTGGTCAAGTCATTTGCATTTAGTATGATCACAGCTATAGTTTTATGCACTCTCCCTGGCATTGGGCGTGTTAGTTGCAGCTATACTTTCAGTTAGATATTCCTCTTTAGATACACCTGAGCCCAGTATGAGCTGGTTCAAATTCACGCTGTTAGACAATTTCTTGCCAGCCCAATCACTAAACAATTACATCTTTTTGTTTATTGACAGGATTTTTCACGAAATTGACAAGGATAAGGATGCATATATTTCGGAAGCTGAACTGAGAATGTTGATCCTAGGATTACAGATAGACAATGGTCTGAACAAGGATGATTATGTGGAAAAGGTCATGGAAGCATTTGATATTAGTGGTGATGCACATATTGGCCAAGAGGAATTTGTTAAAGGAATTACAAAATGGATTTCATTGGCTGATCAATCTATTGGTAATCGAATTTGCAAGAATTCTACCGTTGTACGTACTAATGTTAAGGTAAGTCCAAAATTTCTTGCAGTGTCTTTGTCCCTTCATTATGTGGTGTTATTGATGACTACAATTTATAGAATTAGAGCCTTTGTATTGCAACCTCAGAAATATCATAGAGTACTGTTTGTAATTTTTTTTTTTTCGTCTTGGCCATATTGATTCTACATATTTTGGATTTACCATAGCAGCATGTTTGTGTAGCATCCATGCCCCATTTTTGTGTCCATCCTTCTTATGTCTTATCTCACAAGAGAACATATATAAGCAAGCACTGCTATATTGTGTGTGATTTTCGAGGTGTATATGCAGAATTCTCAGGAAGAGGAGCAAACATTCTTGGTTCAGAGGAAGAAGAGTCAGAGTTCTAATGTATCATGGTGGACTTACATTCAAGCTGCATTTCTTGTGGTTTTAGGAACTGCTATGCTCACCCTGCTTGTCCGTCCCCTCATTCAAAGTGTTGCTGGATTTGCTACTGCTGCAAATATCCCTTCCTTCTTTATTCCCTATGTTGTGATACCTGTGGCTATGAACTATGGAAGGGCACTCTCAGTGATTAAGTCAGCCAGACAGAAGACACAAACAGCTATTTCTTTAACTTTGTCTCAGGTTTGTTTCTTTCTTACACTAATTTGTCCTTATGCATTCAAATGAAACATGCATTTACGGTGTCTAAGTTTTTAATTTCTGATAGTATGCCTGGATTCTTGAAAACCCCTGAAAACCAATAATTTCACCTAATTCACATGTTATTTGAGAATTCATTTTAGTTTTGTCGATTTTGCTTAGACTATTCCCTCAGAAAGTTTTGATACAAACTACCTCATTGTTCTTATTCTTTGTTACAATTCAAATGATCACAGGCGACCAACTCGAGTATCAAAGTCTAATGTAAAGCAGGAAAGCGTTGTTTCAGTTTAACTAGACATTCAGTTTTTTCTTTACTTTGCAAGCATTCAGAAGATCAAAAGTAAAGCACTTGAAAAACTGGCTGTAACCTTTATATGTAGTTCAATTTGGAATTCTAACAGCACAGCCAAGCTTAAGCAATAAAGATTAGGCTCGGGGTGGTCGATTGCTAGTCTTTTCTTTTATATTAATCAGTAAATAGGATCAATAACCATTAATGAGATATGACCAATTCTTCATCCTAATCATTCCTATGGACATATCGTTGCTCAAACCATAAGCAAGTGATTAAAGTCTTAACCAAGGCATTCTGATGCAATTATGTTTGCTTTGCGGTATGCTTTTTTCATGTATATTTACAATAACTAGTTACTTATTAGAACTTTCTTTTTCTTCTCCTCTTGTACAGATGTATGCAGGAGCGTTCATGAATAATATGATTGGTTTAACTATATTCTTGGCACTTACCTATTTTCGGAATTTGCCATGGGGTGTGTCAGCTGAAGTTCTGGTTGTTCTGATTATTGGCACAATGATGGGGCTCTTCGCTAGTTTCTGCACCAAAATCCCTCTGTGGACAAGTCTCGTAGCCATTCTTCTATATCCCTTGTCTCTCCTTCTCCTGTATGTTCTTACCTCTGTTTTGGGATGGTAAACTAAGAATTGTATTGATTATATGTCCACATACAATACTCGAGTGCAGCAATTTTATGCACGTGATGCCGAAGGTTAGGTCTGTATCCAGTCTACCCGTCCCAGACCTTCATTGATGTTGCCACAAACATCCCTGCTGTATGTACCATGTTTCTGTGAAAATGTATCAAATGGATGATATACTTTAAATGCAGTCTAGCTACTTTCATGTTAATTGACACAATTAACTTGCACTTTGATAGTTCATTTGTTAAGAGAGATGGTCTTTCAATTGTTTAGGTTTATGTTATATATGGGTGTTTCTCTTGATTTTAAAGTTGGGGTTGCTTCTCAAACTCATGAACATGGTTATGGATGCTCTTTTCTTTTTCTTTTTTTTGGTTTAATGGTGAAAAAAATTCCGGTCAGTTTACGCGCACCTCGACTAATTTCCTATCCGGTCCGGACAAAGGCAAGACGATTATGAATTCTCTGTGCACGAAGAACGAAGGTGTTAAAACAAAAAGGACAATTCCGTGGATAAAGCACTAGTCACTACAAGTCTACATAGGATCAAGTGAACGTAGTTTTTGCTACTGTATGCGGAGAGATTATTTTCAAATCTTACTACTTGAAATCGATTACAAATTAAATTCGGATTAAAATTTGATCTATTGATAAATGTATTCACATCTATTACAAAAGAAAATTTAAAAATTGTTGAGGGGTGAGTGACTCCATTCACCTCGCGCTTAAAAAAGAAATAAGTAATGTCATTGGAATGACACTGATCCCACTAACGATTGAGACATTTTACTAATTCAATGATTATAATATATTGTGCTAATAAATTAAATCTAAATAATATTTTTTAGGCTGGATCAAATCTTGATTTGTCCAAATTCGAATCTGATAAAACATACGAATTTTGAATGTGATCCGTTTACCTAATTAAAAAAAGAAAAACATTCAATCACACCTCTTTTAGTTTTATCATATCTTCAAGGATACCTCATTTATTGTCTGAATCTTCATTAACAACCCCTGTCAGATTAAATATTTTAACTAAAATACAATTTTACAAAATTGTCCATGATATATTTTATGAAAAACTTCATCCACACTCCCTCTAAATAGATATATTTTCAATAAGACCTTCTCTATTTTATGAATATTTTCATGTATTAAAATTCGGGCCGATTAAAATTTAATTTGAGCTGATTATAAACGGTTCGAATCAAATTTTAATCAACTCGCATTGAATTTTAATCAGATTGAATTTTGATATATTAAAAATATAAATTTTAATCGACTCAAATTTTGATATGTAAAAAATGAATTTTAATCAACATGAATACAATTTTAATTGACTCAAATTTTGATATGTTAAAAAATAAATTTTAATAAACTCGAATTTTAATATGTAAATAAAATAAAATTTAATCAGCTCAAATTGAATTTTAATATGTAGAAAAATAAATTTTAATTAACTCAAATTTTAATATGTAAAAAAATAAAATTTAATCAACTCGAATTTTAATCGAATTTTATGTGGAAAGACTGTTTGAGGTTTATGTTAAGGCAATTTTGGTACTTTAGATAAATTTTTTTTTTTTGAAATAGTAGTTTAACTGCATGGGGTGTCAGTGATGTTTAAATATAAACCAAAAAACGTGTCAGTGACATTTTTAATAATAGATGAGGTATCCTTAAAGATATAGTAAATTAGAAAAGGTGTGGTTGAAATTTTTCCTAAAAAACATATTTTTACCAAATTTTAGTTAACTTTCAACCTAATTTAATCAATCAATGATTCTATTCAATAATTTATGTTTAATTTCGTGTCAATCATATTAATAATATAGCCAAGTATATTTGTATATATAATAATTCATCTCAATTAAATGTGTATATATGTATGTGTGTGTATATATACATATATACTAGATTTATATATGATGATACTCAGAATAATTTTCAAGTATGAGTTCAGGTGCGCTGGTCAGACCAAAAGGTCAGGAAAGGCTTGCAACGTGTCAGAGTGCAGCTGGATGACAACGAAAATCTTATAGGTGGCAAAGAGTCATGTTCAAGACGCAAAATCCTTAACCAGCCAAGACCCTCTCCTAAGATCAAGGAGAGTTCCTCGAAAAAATGGCAAGGATCTCGGTGCAGATCCTACAGGACTAGGGACAGGTCTATAAATACTATGTAATGCCCCTTTTCTAGGGCCGGAGAGAACACTAGGAACATATATTCTATCCTGTATACTTTTTGGATGATTAGAAAAAAAAAAGGAGCAAGAATCTCCATTGAAGAGTGAATTAGTCGAGCTCCCGAGCTGGTGAACCACTATAATTCCATTGTGTTAATCCCCCAATTTCCCACCATTGATACCAATTCTCGCTCTTTCGAGCCTTGTAGCTCAGATTTTAAGAGCCAGTTACTGAATCATCTCATCTGCTCATTGCCGAAAATCTGTAACACGGTAATTTACACCATCAATATATATATTTAAATTCAAATTCAAATTCATGTAAAAAATTTAATCAGATTCAGATTGAATTCGGATAAATAGATTAAATGTTAATCCATATTTAATTAAATAAACTCGGATTCATATCGAATTAGGATTAAAATATGCTCTATTGATAGCCAACTCCAATAGTTTCCCTCACAATTTCCTAGTTGAAATAAGAAAACAGATGTCCAGAAAGGAAAGAAGAGAGAGAAAACAAAAGTAGTAAAAGATGTTTCCGTCCGTTGCCATAAGTCTAATCCGGATGGATCAACACCATGGGAGAGCCATGTTGCATTCAATGAATTAGAAAGACAACGTGCTACAACAAAGTTGTTGTCTTTATGCCAAACATCTATAATATAAAATAAAATAAATTTTAATAAATTCATTCAACGATTTCAAATAAACTTATCTAACGACTACTAACATCTCGTTCAAAATTATTTAAATTACATCGTACCTTTAATCACGGATTATCCCTAGTGTGTGTGTGTATATATATATATATATTCACATTGTCCTCATTTTATGATCAACAATTTTTCTCATTTTTAAATCCAATTGGGTTATTAAGGGATCACATTGTTTTATCAATAGTTATTCAATTAATATATATATTTTTTTAGTTTTAATCGCATATAATCCAATGTGTATCATGCGGAGCTTATGTTGAGTATAAATTAGGTTAGTTTGATTCAGGGCCGACTCAGATGGTAAGTGTCACACCCGACTTGAAGATAGAACATTAGATTCAAATTCAGTAAAGTGATCCCCCACTCCTTGACACACATCTATACCCTGTACATATAAACTTTCATATTACCGTGCTTTAAACTAATTAGATACAACAACATAACTTTCACTTTCTTTATATCCGAACATACCTTCTACATAAAGTAATACTTTTACAACTGTAAAATAATACAATGTGTAGTTCTCTAATTACAAGACTCAGTAACTATACCAAGTATTCTCACAAGACACGAGAAATCCAATTCCCTCTTATACCGCCTAGACTTAGCATTGGACATCTATTTTCCCTTTGTTTACTTGAAAAACATACACCAAAGGGGGGGGGGGGGGGTGAGCACACACGCTCAATGAGTGTATCTATGCAGTTAACAATAATAGTAGATAATGTACAAACAATTATTATCTTCTCAATCAACTAAACCGCACTTTAAATAGTAAGATATAAGCTTCTTTGTCACTTTAGAAATCTTACAATATGTCACTACCAGTTAGTATCCCATTAGAGTTATATCGATACTTATCACTCAACCAATCTTGCCTAGCAGACCACATCCGCCACACAATCTATATCCTTCACACAGGCTACATATCTGTCATTTTGACAATATCGGCCCCACCAACCATATAATTGTTATTAATGTATTATTCGGTAATAAAGTTACTCACAATAATCATACAGTGCATAGTAATTACAATCCTGTTATGACTAACAAACAAACCATGCAACTATTTATTAACGACAAACATCACAAGTCTTTAAGGTACCATCATTCATATTGCATTTACAAGTTTGTTCACCCAATCTCATATCAACTCACTCAATAGCCTTCGACAATGTCAATAATATGATAAAGTTTATTTACAATACCAATCACAAACAATAAGCCACCTTATTACACAATCCATAACATATAAAAGACATTTAAACTAATCGCATACACACGCAAGAAATACACCCCAAGTCCCGATGTCGCATAATCCTGTCATCGGATAAGATTTTAAGCATTCATGTCGTAGGAAACGACGCATTTGTTCTTACCAAACATCATAATTACCATATATAAACACATTCCACATTTGTATTTAATCTTAATTATGCCTATTATATAGCTATGTATTCATGCTTGCGCTAGCATATTCTTAAACTCTCTTCTAAATGGTGTACTCTTAACCACTCTAAACTTTACTCATCTTTTACTCACTTTACTCACTTCAATTTTAGTTTGAATACTCATTCCGTATATTTGTAAGCCATTAAATCCATAAGGAACTTATTTAAGATCCTTTAAGTACCATGATAACATTTTAGATCAATTGCATAGGAGCCCGTAACATCAAAGCAAATTTGCCGAGATTGGCTTTGATGAACTGGTTGATCATGTTTCTTCAACCGGTTGATGTCTATCCTCGCCCGACCAGTTGAACACATGCTTCAACTGGTTGATATGCAACCAGTACTCTGTTCAACCAGTTGAACTCTGTTTGGAATTTTAGAACTTAATTCAAACTTTATCTTCTTTTACCCAACCACAAATCTAACACCACCCAAAACTTATTCATGTTTCAAAGAAATATTTAGAAGTGAAAAAACATAGAAATTCATAAGAATTCCTTACTTTCATTTGCGACCCAGTTCCTTTGGTTTTCCACTGAATTCCACCAAAAAGCGCCAAGTTCTTTTGAAATCCTCAACACAGCTTCCCTCCACTCCTTTACACAAGCAAGATCACACAAGTCACACAAAAGAAGAAATACATCACTCAAGAACACATGCAAGTGCAACTCCGGCGAACTTCTTATTTCTTTTCTTTTTCCTCTTTTCTCTCCCCTTTCTCTCCTCTTCCACCGCCTAAATCATTTGTTCCCTTTTATATTTATCCCTAAGCTTGGCTAGAGATGCTACACTCAACCGAGTGTCCTCACATGCAAAAATTATAATAATCTTGTTTTACTTATTTTCACATTTAACCACTTGTAAATTCTTGACACTATTTAAATTTCACATATACTCTCCCCTACCTCATAATTCAACAATCCAATCGCTTATTTAAAA